GATAAAACAATGCATAATTGTTTTCATAAATTAAATACAAACAAATGTGTTAATTAAATTGAATTTATATATAGCATATAAATCCGCACCGACCTACGCTTCATTGTAAATAGTAACTAATGTTTATGACAAGCATATAAAACTCGATTTACTTAATTTTCAATTAATTATTAATGAAAGATTTCATTAAATTATTTTCATTAACGTAAAATATATTATATATTTTCATTCATTCATAAACTAGTCAGCTCAGTTTTAGCTCATCAAGAACGCCCTCTGAAAATGCTTCACAATAAAATAAAGTTATAAAGGGTTGATCAAAAACAAAATTAATAAGAGTTGGTTTGGATCCAACAACCTTCTGAAATTCCCAACTCCAATGTCAATTAAGCAGGGTTTTCCAAGGGTTCTGTTTTTGTTCATTGGAGGGCCTGAAATCCCCCTTCTCTGTATTCAAGCAAAAGAAAAACCACAACTTAAATGCAGGAAAGTCACCTTTTTGTGGCATAACCAGATGTTGTTATACACCCGAACATGCCTAATATAGCACTAAAATTCAGAGCATTCCTGTCAAAATTAAATTAAATTAAATTATAATGAATATTTAATAGTTGACCGTTGCATTATAAAGGAAGAAGATGGTACGGGCTGGCGGTCATAAATAGGCTAAATAGTGACAAAACTATTTTATTAAAAGCCAACGTTTCGACCCGACTTTGTAGGTCTCCTTCAGGGCTAGAACAGACAAGATATAAAAAGATAGAGAATTGTAGAAGTTACATAATATTTAAACAAAAAATTGTAAACAATGTGAATAAGCTAATTAAAATTATAAACAGTAAGTACATTAAAATATAAACAAAGTAAACTATGTAAAAAGGTCCTAAACTCAAGTAAATAGATGGTAACAATTCTTATAGTGTAATATATAATATATACAAATGTGAATATACTTCCACAGATCTACAGGAGAGATTGAAAGAAAATGAAAAATGATATAATATGAAATAATGGACATAAAGGAATGTGGAGAAAGAAAAGAAACCCAAAAAATTAAATAAGTCCCAAAAAAAATGTATTCTTCTAATTTTATTTACTTAATTTTTATCACGGACCATCTCCACTGACCTTTAAATTATAATGGCATGTCAGTCATGAGGATAAAAAATACCGAGTGGTACTTCTTCTTGTTGGTTAATTGTGGTATAGTAAAGCCGTAAAACCTGTTGGTCATCAACGCCATTAATTATCCTATCTTCTGGTTGTGAATAATAAAATTAAAAAGACGTAAATGCATGTTAAGTTTAAACTTATTTACGGTTATTAAAGTCAAGTTATTTAAAGCTAAGTTTAAAATTATCACGTTAAGTAAAAAAATAATAATAACAATAAATGAAAAAATATATTAAAAAAATAAAATAAAAAAGTAAAAGGAAAAAAATAGGTGTTTAAAGATTTCTTCTTCAGAGAGAAAACATAGGACTTCGCTCAAGACTTTTACATCATTTCCCAAAGCATCCGATCTAATTGCTGGTAATTAATTCTATTGAAAGATAATTGTGAATATACATCAATTTTAAACAAAACATTTATAAAAGCTCTTTTTTTTCTAACATCCATTAAGTACTATTCTATGTTGTTGCGCTCTTGCAAATCTGATGACACTTATTATCCATAAAATAATTGTAAAAATAATTTGTAGGACTATATTGAAGTTCTTTTTTTTCGAAAATTATTATTTATTATTTTCGAAAAAATTGTAGATAAATCTCTTTTTTTTATTTGTAGGACGTATGTAATATGAGAATAATGAAACCGCAAAACGTCACCTAAATATAGTTGCTTATTTATTTGGATTGTTCCTCAAGATCCTCGGAAAATATACATTATTTGATAATCGAGAAAATTTAAATGAATAAATACAAAATAAAATGTATGTCTAAGAACAATACCTTAGCCATTCAAAATTCAAACAATTTAAAAGTAGAAAAACATAATTATTTGTATTATAAAAAGGAAACTCTAGAACTAGTTTACAAGCTATTCAGAAATCTACGAAAAAATATTGTAATATTATGCAAGGCCATTCTTTAGAAATCTTTAAAAAATTAATAAAACTAGTTCCGAGTTAAGAATTAGTTATTTAAATCTTATTTTTACCAGATTTCTCACATGTTAATAAATATGTGCATGACTAATTAAACATCCTATGCCTGTTTTCAAACGGTTCTAATCGTAGTTTATTTTATAGCAATGATTTCCAAGTTTTTGCAATTTTCTAAGAAATTAAAATAAAGATAATATTTACTGGGAAATCCACAGTCCTTACATATATATACGGATAGATTAGGATCTTTTTACTTAGTTTACTCTGTTTATATTTTAATGTACTTACTGCTTATAATTTTAATAAGCTTATTCACATTGTTTATAAATTTTTGTCTAAATATTATGTAACTTCCACAATTATCTATCTTTTTGTATCTTGTCCGTTCTAGCCCTGAAGAAGACCTGCAAAGTCGGGTCTAAACGTTAGCTTTTAATAAAATAGTTTTGCCACTATTTAGCCCATTTATGACCGCCACCCCGGACCATCTTCTCCCTTTATAATGCAATGGTCCACTATTAAATATTCATTTAAATTTAATTTAATTAATTTTGACAGGAATGCTCTGATTTTTAGTGCTATATTAGGCATGTTTGGGTGTATAAAAATATGCCACAAAAAGGTGACTTTCCTGCATTTAAGTTGTGGTTTAAAAATTTCTTTTACTTGAATATAGAGAAGGGGGATTTTAGGCCCTCTAATGAATAAATACAGAACCCTTGGAAAACCCTCCTTATATATATATATTTCTTTCTTTTTTTTAACTAACAAACTGAAATGCTTGATGAAATGAAAAAAAAATCGTTGAAATGGTACCTTGCACAACATTTTGGTCAGAAATGTATCAGTATTTATTCTATTTCTGACCAAAATGTTGTGCAAGGTACCATTTCAACGATTTTGTTTTTTAAATTAATTAATTTTTGAAGTATTATAATTTTGTATATTTTTTATAATTATCATTACGATTTGATAGGTATATTCAATAATACAAAAGAATACAATATATTCATCAGATTCATGATATAAAAAAAAATTAACCTGAGTTTTGATGAATACAAACACAGCCATATATAAACACATACACTAACACACGCGTAGACATATTTTATATATCATATTACTTACATCATATGATATATTTTATATGATTCATTCGTGTTAATGTTTGTCTCTAAATCATTTTTAATATTTTTTAGATAATGACGTTATTAAAAAAAAAATGGATACGAAAATAACACTATCCAGTTTAAAGGAGTGTGCTTTTTTTCCTTAGACACAATGGTAGATTATTAGAAAATTGACAAATTTGGATACTTTAACTTGGTTTAGAACTCCAGATACTTCTCACATCCGATATAGTATAGCTCGAAGGTGTTAAAAAAAAACGCGAGTAATTCACGATTTTGTTTTAAAAACAGAAATTAACTTAGTTTGTCAGCCCAAAAGTCCTCTTTAAATGGTCTTAACACTAAACCTTATTTTTGTTTTAAGTACATTTTGTATAGTTTAATTTAAAGAAATTGTTAGTTACTTAAATTAAATATTTTTTAACTAAAATTTCCTAATTTTCTGCAGAAAATCGGAACTTTTTTGTTTAGTCCTCCACTTTAAGGAAAATCGAAGCACTATTGAAGTGAACTTTTTTTGAGTTCATGAGGTCTACTATCATCTGTTTAAATATTTTCATGTACTTACTTTCCTCCTGTTCCTGAAGGCAGTTCCTTCTCGGTATTTTTCTTTTCCAAGTTCTCAAAACCAAAAATCCTCCCTATATCCTCGAACTCCTTACTCTACGTTCCTCTATCCACTGTCTTAATACTACATCTCAATCTATATACTCCCTCTCATAAAACCACTTCCTTCAGCAAATCCTTCGTCATTTGTACTACCCTCTTTTCGGAACTCCTTACCTATCTCCATACGTCAAACCATCTCCACAAATTCCGTCAAACAACTCCTATTCCATCAGCTACTACACATTCAATCTTCCGCAAGATTGTAAGAATTTTTAGGTTCTGTAACCACTGTTGCTTTTAAATAATAAGAGCTATTTTATTTTATTTAATTATTTCTCTCTCAGTATTTTTTGTATATATCTGTATAATATCTTAATGCCAGATTGATGTACATATTTTTTAACTCTGCTATTATCCAAAGGAGACTTCAGTCCTAGAATAAAATTATTTTTCATTTCATTACTTAGGGAACACCCAGCATATTGTGTTGATAGTTCATAATTGGTAATATTATATGTGATTTTTTTTTTACCCATATCAGAGTGCATTGTAACCATTTATGAATATTATTACATTTATGAATAGAAGGGTTGAACAAAAAAAAGATCCTTACCTAGGATTAATAAGTTTGTTTATTATAGGAATACAGAAACAGAGCCAATCGCCATTCCTATTTTGAAAGGTGATGAATATAAGGGTTATATGGCTCTGAAACATGTTAGGGCAGGCCGTTTAATATCTTATTTTAAGACACGGTAGTCTTTGTCCCATTTCAGAGGGCAAAAAGGGATGTTTAATTTAGCGTCCCTTCCGTTGACGAGCTAATAAGTCCTGGCGAAACCATCGTTAGGTTACTCATTCTGGACTAAGTGTAAATAAATTGTATATAATTAATTGTAAATATAATTATGCAAGTAGTATGTTATACGATCTTATGATAATAGTTAAAATAAAAGTAGAGTCAAACCTTTTTAATAATAGATTTGAGTTATAGGTTTCATTAGGTTGTATAACCTTAAATAAGTTAATTACCTAGATCTTCACTAACAGAACTTTTTAACTGTAAGATACTGAAGATCTTAAAGAATTACTGATGTCCCCTACCCATGTTGGATCGGACAGTATATATTGAGGAGGGATGACCACAGACTCGGAAGAAGGCGAACAGAAGAGGGTATACTTCTTGGAGGTAGTGGGGCGAGCAGATTACGCTCAACGTTATCAGTCGTTCTGGTTCCTCAGTCACTCAACAACTCGCGGCCAGCAACACCACCATGGGTAAATACCAACTATACATAATTTCACTTACATGCATCTGCAAACTACTTATACATAAATGGTTTTCATCTTCCTAAAATACGAAGTTTTAAGTATCACACAATCCCTAATGATCAAGCATCTAGTGATTTCGCTGACTTCCGACACGTGTCCATTCGAACGTGTATCAACATTCACTTAATAAATTCTCAGCAATAAAACGGATTAAACAAATATTTATTTAAAGGCTGAAGGACAAGATAAGGTAATATTGGCGAATTCGCTTATTGTGTCATGAATTGCGGTTAATTGGTAGGAAAATCCATTTTGATTGTCGATGTGGATTATGTAGGATTAATAAAGGAATTCATGGGATCATTGTGCAATAAATACAGAGGAAAATGACAATTGATTTTTCTTTATATTGCTCCTGCACTGACGCCAGGCATTTTTATGGCATTCTGTTCACCACATACCTCAATAAAAAGTAATAGTCTCTTGTACTCATTGAATGTTTTTTTTTATGGTTTTTAAATCGCCAAATATCACATAACGTTAAAAATGACAATGAAGATGTCGTATACCTTTGGTGTATAGGATACAATGCTACATTTCCATAACAGTACATGAGAACAATTAAAAAAACAAATGTTTACTTCCAAATTAAATAATTTGTTTTTAATGCATATACTCTTCCTTGGTACCTCAAATGTACAGATATATATAAATAAATAAACAATTTGATATATGGAGAGTCCACCAATAAAAAAAAAATTAATAACCGTCAGTAATTTCAAAAGTAAAAAAAAAAAATTTCTTGACCCTGTTTCATAATCACACCTGAACAAGCATGTAAACATTACTGTATATTGACAAACCATAATTAACTGTTTATTCGTTAATGTTTAGTCAGTATAAACTTAAAAGGAAACATGATTTTTTCTTCATAATAATTAATAATAAATAATATTTATAGGACCTAATGATTTTTTTACGTTTATGGATAAAAAAGTATTTTTTTTTAATTATTTTGATATCTGTATATTTTTTTATGTAACGAACGAGTTATATATATTATTAGATATTTAGAAATAATCTGCTATTCTAAATAACTCATCAAGTTTAAATCCAATATCATACATAAACGATTTAGCATTCTATGTTAAATTACTTTTTAAGTTTTTTGTGGAGACTAATGTTCTATACAGGAAATAATTTTTTTGTTTTCATATAAAATTTTCTTAAAATTCAATAGGTTCACACAAACGGGGTTTACTTATTGAATTGATCACCGTATGGGATTTTTATAAACCTGAAGAATTATTGAAGAAAACTATCTTTAAATGGTTAAAATATTTATTAAAAAATCAAGGCAACAGCAATATAGACGTTCATACTAATAATCAAACACCGTGAACAAATCCTATATAATATAGACAAATCTTGCTGAATTAACTATTTTTTTTATTTTTTATAACATTTGAAACGAGGACTCTAAAAATAGTGAAAATTTGTTATGGCAACTGCCTGTCGTAAAAAATAATTTATCTGTTACCGAACCTATTTCTTGTGTCAATGCAAATTACACGATTAAATCAAGATTATATTTTTTATTTAATATTTTTATTAAATATAAAATCAAGTCTACGTAATTGCTCCCACACAATAGCAAAATCATTCAAAGATGAAACACATCAAACACATGTGAGAGAAGAAGCCGAGATATAAACTTAGAACGAATGTCGTGTTTCCGGGTCGTATGTGAAAGCATTTTCTATTGAATTCTATTACAGTTTCAAAACTCATCGAATCGAATCCATATATTGTTCTACAGGTCAGCGAGTGAAATGATTCGAAATTATTCTGGCCTAAATATTCAACTCGCATTCTCTATTTATAACTTTTTATTAGTTAATGTTAAACCTTAATTAAATTTAAAATAAAAAAAAACCTGATTTATTTTTATTCGAGAACAACTTAGCGTAAAACATCACAGGAACCAAATGACTTCCGTATTCACCTAGTACAAACTGCTTGCTATTTGGTATTGTGATATTTCTATAACATAAAATAATACTTTATTTTCCTTTACAAGTCCAGAAAAAATATGAAAACATCGTTTGTATCAAAGCAAATGGAAATTACAAAAAAAAAATTCTTTTTTTTTTGACAAACGAAAGAGATCAGTAAATAATTTTTTTCCATCAAAAATTGTATAAACAATTAAAACATAGTAACAATGCCATTTTCAAATCAATTATAAATAGTACTGAACATTTTAATTAAAATCACTAGTTCTTTTCATGAACATAAGGTAAGAGACAATTACAAAAAAATAGTTTTTTTTAATTGAAAAATATTTGTAAATTGTTTTTTTAATTGAAAACTTCTTTAGCCGCATTTTGTACTTTTTTTTTGTGGAGAGTGAATTACATTGATCGGTCAGATTTCGTTCGGCATTAACGCTCGTGTAAACTCGGCTAGAGTCGACTAGTTAAAATATTTTTACATATGGATTAAAATATCTCAAAAACTATAAATTGGGCCTGCATACTGTACACGAGGAAATTGTTCAGCATTTCATACACTCTGCAATACGCTATAACTCAAAATGGTATGTTAACCGGGAGGCGAAAAGGAAAAAAAATAGTGTTGAAAACTAAATGATAAGGTTAGTTGAACACATGAATTTAAATATTTCAGATACTAAAAATCGGATCTGTATACTGTATGCGAGAGAAATGTTCAGCATTTCATCTTCTTTGTAATGAGCTATTATTTATAATTTATATTTCATATTATTAATCTAGCCTTATGTTTTAGCTTATATCGTGTGGTCTAAAGCACACACCTTAGTTGTTGTTTTTTTTTCCTTTAAGAACAATATAATTTTTATTTTCTTAATGATATTTACAACTGTATTAAAGAAATACATTTGTTAAATTTGAACATATGGATATAATGACGTGAAAACGCTTGTTGAGAAATTACCCAAAGGTACTCTATGATATGTTTACATTAGGAGATCAGGGGACCATCTTCTTTTCAGATAGGTTAGAAACGAGAGTGTTGGGATGATTCTGAAGTTTATCATGAAAGGATAGGTAACTGGATTAGGCCAGATCTGAAACTTAAGAAACATTTAGGTCATTACAGATGGTTTTATTTGCAACAAAGTAGGGAGCATTAAGGATTTTAAGAAGGATTTTGGATTGCAAGGATTGGATACGAGAGGAATTCGATGGTTTGGTAGAGCCCCATAGCTCAACTCCTTAAGTCCGAATAGGCCTTATTATAGTCATGTATAAGAGTCTTTTGTAATTAATTGGAAGTTTAGAGCGTTTGTCTAGTAAGTGCTATAGTAATCGGAAACGTTGAGCGATTTCTTGTCGTTTCAGTATGGTATGATATAAAAAATTAAAGCATAGTAAAAACACATTTTCAAACTGACTTTGAATACAAACTATTGAAGATGTTTCTAAGTAGAAACTTTGACAGCCGTCGAAACACAAATGCTGAGTACTGTATTAAAACTCCTGAAATTTCCGGTGATTCGGACGTACAACCGGTGAATGGTACGAGCGTACAACAGTTGGTTTTCAAAGAAAACTGTTATCAAGTAAGAATTTTATTCCTTTTTGGCATCTGTTTTGATTAGTATGCCGTATAATATATCTTTTAGATGTAGAACATTCCTTTAATATAGCTGGTAAATCATATATAGGCCACAAAATTACAAATTTTAAATATACTAGTTCTTCTGAAAACGCCATCATTAATTTTCTTTGCAGCAGTTGCTAAGTTGTTTTGATGTTTTTCAAGTTAAAAGGATTGCGTCAGCATCCAATTTTCACACTTCTTACAGTTTTTAGTAATTCAACTTGTAAATAAAAATTCATTTTCTCACATATAAGATTGATCTACTATTTTGTTTTGTTTTTGATATTAATTGTTTTATTGAGGTATAATACATTTTACCACACTTAAGGGTACTGAGTATTAAATCTGTAAGGCACATCCATACTATATTAACAATTTAATAAAATAAAAAAAATGAAATACATAAAGATAGATATATAAAAGATAATAATGTATATATAACAAAATAAAAACTGTAATAAAAACAAAGAAATATAGCTTATAGTGAAATAATACAGAAAACTCATAAGAAAAAAATGAAAGAAAATAATAAAAAATAAGTAAATTAAAATTAATGATAATAAATTATTAGAATTGAGTAAATAGAAAAAACAAACAATCAAAAAACTAACAGTCATAATTACTTACAATTATCTACTAATTAATACTGTCGATTTATTTATAATACTATACTATGCTCATATATATATGTATATATATATATATATATATATTTAAAGCTAATATACGCTTTAAAGTATATAAGCTTTAAAGCTAATATACAAATATACAGTATTAACAATATATATATATATATATATATATATATATATATATATATATATATATGTATATATTGTTAATACTGTATTAGTTTTAATTTAAGTTAATATTAGTTTTAAAGAAGTGTCCATAATGATTGATAAGTATGCTGTGTTTGTAGCAACCCAATATAAATTGGCAGCATCCTTTTATGAAAATAAAGTGATTGTCTCTATATATATGACTATAATTAATCTATACTTTTATAATTACCGTAATAATACTATATTTTTTTAATCATAATACCATATAATACCATTATTTCAAAAAAATAAAAATGAAAAGCTATAAACAAAATTATTTTAGTATATATTACTAAGCAATAGTTAATGGATGACCTAAATTTATGTTGTTTTTTTTTTTAGCTTTCAAATTAAACTTCTTTAAATCTTTTATAGAAAAGGATGAATTGCAGTTTAATTCAAACTAAACGTTTCAATGATACTTTTCAAGAGACGAGATACGTACATAATATTTAATAATTATATTTATAAATAATATTAATACACTGTTTACAAAACAAAAAGGATAAATAAATAAAATAAAAATATATATGTTAA